CCACTGTCTGTGTCAGCATATTTTTGGATGGCTTCTTGGAAAAGCATGTATGCTCTTGTATAATTACGAGTAGCTGGACTGAAATTCATATCCAAATCACGTTCTGGGAATCTATCGCTGTTGATGTACACAGACAAGCTTCTGAGGTCAGCATTATCGAAAACCTGGTTGTTCTGTTTTTCATTCCCACTTCGATTGGCTGCTTGTATGGCAAAGAAGATATGAGTTGGGAGTTCCTCATTGCTGTGAGTAGTCACTCTCCAGGATGGGTTTGTCTCCGTTGATCCATACTGATTTCTATAAACCCGGACTTGCTCGAAGTACAGATCTCGGAGGGTGGACTTAACCAACTTACTTTCAATCTTACTAGCTAGTTGGAGTGATGGTCTCACCTTTGGTATCCACAAAGAAAGATGTTTGATGTCAAACCTTCCTGGATCAACACCATTTACTCTGTGAATGTAGTTGGCTGCTGATTCTCTAGTAAGATTGAGTGTATGCTTGACTCCCATGAATACTGTATCAACATCTTTACAAAACCCCAACAGTGATGATAAAGGAAGCAACATGGTTATATCCTTATTTCCAGTCGTGATGAGTTGTCGGGCTCTGAATCCGGTATTGTAAGCAGGATTCTTTAGAGCTCCTGTCTGAAAATGCTGTCTGAAATTTGCTCCAGTAAGTGCTGTTACGTCTGTGATAGGATTTACTGGCAACAATGCACCTGAATCCCTAAACTCATTAGGAGATGCTTGTCCAGTTCCTGTGTCCTTGTACCAGAGCATGTTGGTAGCAGAACTTCTCCCATAATCATCACTAAACTGGACCAGATTGAGAATGGTAGAAGCTTGTGGTACATGACCATCAACTCTCTCTACCATGTTGTTGTCAAGTTGATACTCAACAGTCTTGAAGAGTGACAATCCGTTGTTGGAAAGAGTGATGACATCATCAGGATCATAATTGGAGCCATCTGCTGCTTTGACGAGACGTCCACGAACCTCAAGCAGTGCTTTGTGAGGAAGGAGGTACTCATCAAGATCCTTGGTTTCTATGATATGCTAGTCTTTATTCATGTCATTGCTGTTCCTGTTTAGATATTCTATATACTCATACTCAGTTGTTGATTCATCCTTTGGCGGGTCTGTGAAAAGATCGAAATGTGGACTTGTGTAAGAGGCCATAGTTTCCACCTATATATTTTTTCTTTTTCTTTTTTTTCTACAACCTCTTCATTCCTGAACCAGCAATGATGTTTGATAGGTTAGCTCTCTGATTATCTTGGAGAAGCTCTTTACTCTTATCCAACAAAACTCGTTTGATGTCCTTGTTGTTTGATAATTGATTGATGGTATCTCTAACATGTGGGTTGATAGCTTTGTCTTTACCAATAGTAGTAGCAAGCTGCTTTGCCTCTTTCTTTACTTTCATTTTTACTGCTTTTCTGTCACCCTTAGCAAGATCTTTTGCAAAATCAAAGACCATGTCTGGAGTGATCTGCTCTTTTGCTGCTTCCAAAGCTTTCTGAGCTGTCATTTTTCCTATGGATTTGACCTTTGGTGCTAAGATTTTGCTGGTGTTGTATAGTACACCTTTGGCTTTGTTGTACAGATTTCCAAGAAGACTTCCGCCGATAACCTTTTGTCTGGTAAGCTGGTTTCGTTTCAAGAACATGATGTCATCTATCTAGTCTTATTTTCTTTCCCGGAGATGAAGACTGAACGTGGTTCTTTCATTGTTGAGGTTCAGTTCCTTTCCATCTTGATCAGTTTTCCTCATTATTACATCCGATATTCTATCAGTTTTCGTTAATGGTAAACACGTCTTCTCATTCGGTTGGATGTTGAGTTGGAATCCAGGAGGTTTATCCGGTGAAAAGGAGTAAATGACATCACCAGTTCTACCATTGAGATATGCCTCACTTACCAAGCTACAGTGAATGAGGATGTTGTGAGTGTCAGTGATATTCACAATGAAGTCAGATGTAGAAGTTGTATCAACCAGTTTCTTGGAAAATCCGAGCACAGGAGCAAGTGATGATGGGGTGTCAAAGTCAACCTTGTAACCATGTTTGAGGTAAATTTCACTGTGTAGAGTGTTGAAGTTTGGCTCAATTGTTATCCCTTCCTCATTTTCGATTTTTCTCTGGATATATCGATTGATGTCAGTCAAGTTGTAAGCACCTCTTGGAATGACAAGAGTTTTCCAGGCTTTCCCATCGAAAATCCGAATTTGGTTGGTTGAGGTGTTGATGTTGAACCAACTATACCAGATGGTAGAATTAATCAGAGCAATTTCATAGGTCTTCTTTTCATCAAGTAGTAATGGAGGGTTGAAAGATGCTTGGAAGTTTTGACTTGTCCCTGTGATTTACGAACTGTGACTGTCAAAAAATAGAATGGTTTCCATGGTTCTATCTATACATAAGTTTTATATATCTTCTTGTATTCACTCTTTTTTATCCTTTTCTCATTCAACAAACGATCCAAGATCTCAACCAGTTCGTTAATGACTTTCTTTGATGTATTTCCTGCTTCTCGGGAAGCGCAAAGTAAACCCAGTCTTTCTACTAACTCACCAGGTGATTTGTAAAATCTGATTCCACTACCTTCAAAGGGTTTATGGTGTGTGTGGAAGACTCCTTCCGACATACGATGACGGGGAAATATTTCTAGACTTTTGGGGTAAGAATCATCAAACCTAGCTGCTTGATCTGCTTTCGGAACTGGACTTTTAGGATAAGAATCATTAAACATAACTGCTTTATCTGCTTTCGGAACTAGACTTGAGAGTTCTGGACTTTTGGGATTGATACCTTTCTTTTTGTTTCTTCTCTTTTTCTTAGTGGACTGTGGTGATGATTGAGTTGCTTGGTCTGCTTTCGTAACTTGTATAGGTTTCACTCTACTACTGAGTACTGAAAATCTTAACTATATGTAGATAAAAAATGGAAATACCTCATTTGTTAATACTGTTGACCATGCTACCATTTACTCTTGGCTGTATTCGTGATCCGTTGGATAAGGATGGACTCTTCTTGACAACGAAACCTCCTACTGTTATCCAAAGTGAAAGACCAACTCCGGTTGACATCCCAAGTGAAACATCACCACCAACAGACCATATCACTACACAACCCCCTTACGATCAGACGAAACCAGTAAACGGGGATAACCCTCATTTGACAGACCCCAATCTTTATCTTTTATCTCTGATTGTTATTCCTATAGTTGGTGCTGTTGTATATATCATAAAACGTTCCAGCTGTTCGATGAGTGTTGACCCTGAAAATGATCCAAGAAATTTACAACATCAGCCTAGGTTAGATTTTGATCCGATACCATTATCAGATGTGCTTGGTACGATCAATCTACCAAAATCACCTTCAACCTTTGATGTAACTGGTATAGTCTGATGGAGAAGAAAGAAAACGGTTTATGATAGAGTAAAAATGAACAAATTTATGATCTTGATAGGAATTGCTTTTCTAGCTCATTGTGTCAGAGTGAATGGGTTGGTAATAAACAAATGTTGGGAAGAAAATTCATTCTGGATTTGTGTTCCGCTTACACATCTTAGTCCACCTATTAATGTACCAGCAGCATCTGTACCACCGACAACACCGATACCACCCACACCACCGACAACACCGACAACACCAACACCACCGACAACACCGACACCACCGACAACACCGACAACACCAACAACATCGGGAATTACATCGGGAATTACATCGGGAATTACATCGGGAACATCGGGATTTACACCGACAACACCGACAACATCGGGAATTACATCAGGAACATCGGGAATTACATCGGGAACACCGACACCATCGGGAATTACATCGGGAATTACATCGGGAATTATATCGGGAACATCGGGAAATACATCGGGAATTACATCGGGAACATCGGGAATTACATCGACAACATCAACCCTAATGTCAGTAACGACAACATCGGGAACATTGGGAAAATCAGACAACTTGATTTACCTCCTTTTCCCTCTTCTTCTCATCCCCATTACTGCTGGTGTATTTCACAGACAAATAAAAAAATATATCACAGAAGGAAAGATGAAGACCTTCACACTTTCGAAACCACCCACATCATGTAAAGATGTTCAGGTGAAAAATATGCCTTACATTCCCACAAAAGAACCTCTTGCTAAGGGGAGAGCAACACTCAACTCAGGATGGAGACCCCCTATTACAAAAAAAGCTGATGAAAAACAAGAAAAGATATATGTGGAAATGATCCATCCCTTAGCAAAACTAAAACAGGAAACAGTTGTATATGCTGGAAATATATCAAGAGAGCTAGAAGAATTGTCATACCAAGATGGCAAGAATTCACGGAACACAACTTGTCTAACCCCGAAGGCTTCCTTTGGCTAGTCATGTAACCTGGGTTGGAAAAGAGCATCTCCTATTTCGGGGTAACCTTCCATCTTTTCGAGTTAGAACAGTAAACTGCCACCATCGTACATAATTACAGAGATTTGCCACCTCTGTCCATGCTCTGGCACAAGGGTTCACACAGCGCACCGTACATTTTTTTATGCATGCATGAGATACCCCATACCTTTTCAGGCCTGCAAAAAGCGTAGAATAGATTTTTAGAATTTCGACTTGGAAAATTATTGGTGCGGCTTTGGCCGCACCAGTCGCACTGGTTCCGACGCCCCTGATGCTGACTACCCAGGCTAAGTACCCAGACTGACCACTCAGATTCACTCAGACTATTTAAAGCCAGACTAAGTACCCAGACTAAGCACCCAGACTCCAAAACCAGGTGATATGAGTTTTTGCCTTTGCATGACCCCATAGAAAGGGTATGAAGAGTTGCACACTCTTGGTAGCTTAGTTACCCTTGATCATACTGTACACTCTAGTACTATGTGAACAATGGAAGACTGCTATCTGTACTGAACTCCCAGTCAACATTGTGTAATTAAACAAAAGTGGAATCGCACTAATCAATCATAGATCTTACCTGCAGTCTCCTGTTGCCATATTCAACCACCACAAGATCACCATCGTCATCCACAGCTACATCAGTGGGATCTTTGAATTCAGCATTACCACTGCCCAGTTTGCCTATATCACGTATGTATGTACCATCCAGTGTGGTGATCTACAGGTACATACATGTACATCACAACACAATACACCAACAGAAAAGAGGAGCATGGAAAAAACTTCATTTTAACATTTTAAACGTTTCCCAGTCCAGAATGATACAGTATGTCTGCATCATACATAAGCTCAGTTACTCATGCAAGAAATTTCATGAATTGGTAAAAAAGATGGGGGCTTCTCACGGGAAAGCTTAGTTAGCCCAGGCACACTGTGACGGGTATTATAGGCATAGTGCTGTGAGTGTGTGTCATTTTGCTGTCCCTGAACAGTTAACAAGTTGGTCTATTTTTACTTTTAAAATTTGAAATCGTCAGATATGTCTTCAAGTGCTTAAAAACTGTCTGGACTTGAAGGAGCTGTCCTATTTAGTTTCTTTCTTGATTTGCTGAAATTACGTTTTACTTTTCCCCACCATCCCACCGTCTCTATTTTGTTTGTCTCTGCTCTTTCTTTCATTCGCCACCTTGTTTTCTTCCCGAATGGAGATGGGGGATGCAAGTGGGCAGCAGGATTGTTGTGTGCGTGCGGTGTGACTCCTAAGGCCAGGTAGTTATGTGAGCCCTAGGTGGGAGAATTCTTCGCCCCGTTGCGCGTTCGTTTGCACACGCTGGACGGTACGAGATTGGCGCCTGGGCCAGTATGCTTCAGCTCTTGGGGGGGGGGGGGGGAAGTCGTGGGTGTCAGCAGCTATTCCTTGGCTCTCAATAGTCAGTACAGGCAGTGCAAATCAGCCCTTGGTGGGCAGTACAGTCATTATCTTCTCACGATAAGCAGTATGCTTCAGCCCTCCGTGGGTGTATGTGTGACACCTGGGGTGCAGTATACTTCAGCCCTCAATAGGGTGTATGTGATAGCTCCAGGTGAGCAGGTTGCTTCAGCCCGCAATGGGGTGTACTTCCTCCGGGTCGTTAAAATTTTCGCTTCCCAGAGCGGTTTTTCAAATTTATTTTGTCCACTCAAAGTGCAAAGAAATCAGCTAGAAATTGAGCCAGATCATTGTCGACAGACCAAGCTTTAGTTTTGGCCTCCCGTCTTTGTTGCACTTGCAGCTAAGGTCGATGGCTTCACCAGAGTTTGAGGCAGGCTCTTGTCAAAATCTTATCGATTTGATAATAGAATGTAGAAGACCTTCGCAACCATGCACACACTCACATTACTACAACACAAACCACAATTGTCCATTCATCAACTACACTTCAGTCAAGATAAGAATAACCAATACCAAGGAAACACAAACAACGGAGAAAAGAACTGAGACGCACAATGAGTACGCTCCGAAAACGGCGGTGCTCGGAAGCAAGCCAGGCCAAATAAATCGCGACGCAGCGCACCCAGACCCATTCGGGCCTGAGCTGTGTAGCGATCGCGTTGTCAGGTGCACTGTGGTGCCATGGAAACAAAGATGGTGGCGCATGAAGCGCGTGTACCATGAGGTAGAAAGAAAGGAAAACAAATAAATAAATAAACTGCAGAACGAAAGTGAACGTGAAGAAGAAATAAATTTGAGAGTTTTTAGAGAAATATGAATGTAGTTCACGTCTGGCGGAGGGTGCTTGCACTTAGCTAGAGGTGAGAGCACCACTGTCAGATAATGTAAAGACTGAGTTAGAAAAGGAGAAAGGCGGCGGAGTTGCAGACTGAAACTACAGGAAGTTCAAATAAGACGTGAACACCAAATTTATATGTATTACAAATATTCGTGAACGGCAGTTCTCGACACTGCCACCAAACAGAAGTGTGAATGCACTAGAAAGAGAAATGAACAAAGAAGGTTGTGAGCAAAAGGGTAGAAATATTAGAGGTTATACTTACCTTAACGCCGCGAAGTTACAAGCCGTCCAACTAGCGATGTTCTGGCGTGCCTGATCGGCAACCTTGCGCCTCGGGCGGGTTGCTGATGGTGGCGGTGCTTGCACTTCAGGAGTATCATCTAATTACTGGCTGCTGACGACTGCGGGGCACCATCCTGCCGGGTGCTGGGTACCTCGAGTGGATACAGCAGCCATAGTGGGCGTTTCACTGGGCCAGACGGCATCAGGACCTCTGCTGAGCGGACGCAACCATCTGTCGCACTAGCGTTAGCCGCTGTTACCTTGCCAATGTGCCACTGGCCACATGGTATGCCTTTGGACTTGACGATGACGATCTCCCCGATCTGTGGCTGGCTGGATAGAGACGTCTTGGGCTGGCGGTGATCAGGGTTCGCACGTTCCCCGAGTAATTGCAAGTACTCAGTCCGCCAGCATTTCCAGAAACGTTCCAAGAGAACTTGGGATGCCCTCCACAATTGCAAGATGTGAACCCGGGAGCTGATATCAGCGAAACAGGTGAATAAACAGACCCATACCTTGGTCGTGGAGGAGTCGGACTGCTTGATGAGCAATGGTCCAAAGTGGTCCAGACCGGTGAACTCAAATGGATGAGCAGGGTAGACAAGCTCAGCAGGCAGAGGCGGCATCAACGGAAGGCGATAGGGTGGCGGGTCTTGACGTCGGCACACAAGACATAACTTCAGTTCATGGCGAACAGCCTGTTTACCATGAGGAACCCAGAAGTTGAGGCGAAGCTGTGTGAGGGTGTGGCTTGGACCAGCATGCAGCAGGCGGACATGGATGTCGAGAATGAGCAAGACAGTTAGACAATGCTGGCGTGGCAGCAGAGCAGGCTCGCTGGTAGCATGAACGTGAGCAAGCTTGCCATGACAACGGATAATACGCAGCTGGTCACGCTGAAGACCAAATTGCTTCACCAACGGGAGACAGGACCAAGCGTCGCACACTGACGCTGAAGACATATGGTTGAGCAGCAAACTGGCTGAGCTAGCAAAGCATTGCCATCTTGAAGGCGTGTCTGCTGAGCAGCTGGCAACCGAGTCCACACCGCACGATAGAGGAAATGCATGCAGTAGGTCAAGATCCTGACGGATTTGGACAGTGAGGACGAGCGCGTTAGGATAGACTGCTGCACAAGTGACGGCGGCAGGTCTGGTTGGGTAGCAAGCATGCTGTGGATGAGACGAGGTCCAGGGTACTCGCCCTCGGCCAACGCCAAGTCCTGAGGAGTGATAGTGGGGTGACTAGAAGCAGACGATGTGCTGACGTCTTCTGTTAGCCATGAAGGACCAGACCACCATAGCGTACTGTCAGCGCTGTTTGAGGACGAGTAGCCAAATCAGCAAGATTAGCAGCACTGGGGACATAGCGATAAGTGATGTCCGGCAGAGCACGTAAACTAGCGATGCGATTGGCCACAAAGGTAGACAGGTCCCGACTTGAGACAAGCCAATGTAGAACGCACCTGGCATCAGTCCAGACAGTAGTGGACGAGAGTGTGAGGTTGAGCTCCTGCTGAAGGAATGACGCAAGTCAAGCACCAATGACAGCACCCAGTAATTCCAGGCGAGGAATGGTCATGGTGCCAGCTGCAAAATATGACTTCTTGGGAGCTGGTGCGAGCCGCATCTTGCTGAAGACGAGGGCGGAGTGTACCGAACAGCTGTCGGTGACCCGCAGATAGCCAGCAGCTGCATACGCATTGACAGAAGCGTCGGTGAAGATATGGAGCTGCACATCCGTAACGCTGCCGACCGGGCAGCACAAACGGGGAATAGTGATCAAGGAGAGCGATGCCATCATAGAGGAGAAAGCAGACCATTCTTCAGTAAAGTGTGCAGGTAGAGGGTCATCCCAATTGAGCTCAGCTTGCCACAACTGACGAAGTAGCAGGCACCCAGACAGAATGGCTGGGATGAGTAGACCAAGCGGATCGTACAAAGTAGAGACGGCTTGCAAGACAATGCGCTTAGTAGCAGGTGCAGCAGCAGAGAGGGTGCAGCGAGAGCCAACAATTGACAATACATCGTCATGTGTGTCCCACTGTAAACCAAGCACCTTGACATGTCGAGTCGTGTCGATGTCATCATGCAGTACAGTCGACCGCGCTGCTGTACTGTTGGTTGTCCATTCACGCAGATTCATTGATGCACGCCTGAAAATGGACTTGGCCTCCTCATATACGGCAAGAACATCAGAAACCTCCGAGACACAGATCAACACTTTGTCCACGTAGATATTCTGATCGATAGAAGCGGCAAGAGGAGTACATTGCAGCTGCAGATGGTAACGGATAGTAGCTTCCAGCAAAAACGGACTGGCAACAATTCCGAACGGCAACCTGCAGAAACGATACACGGCCAAGTTGTCCTTGGACGTGGCAGGGTTTGCTGGATCGTCAAACCAGAGAAAATGTGTGACATCTCTTTCATCCGGACGAATGCTGAGCTGGAGAAACGCTTTCTCGATGTCAGCCAACAGCACAATGGAGTGGCAACGGAAGCGGAGAAGTATGCCACAGAGATTCGGCAAGTTGATAGGGCCACGATGCATGCACTTGTTCAGACACTTCGCTGCTTTGGCCGACTTGGCCGAGGCATCGTATACAATGCGCAGCTTAGTGATCGCCTTGGAGGGTGTTACGACTGGCTGGTGCGGCAGGTAGTGCTTGACTGTGTGGGTTGAAGTGTTGGTTGACACACGTTCAACAATACCCAGCTCAACCTGAGACTGGATCACTGCATCGTAGCGCAATAGCAGGTCATGGTCCCTACCGAGCTGCTTAGTGAGGGATGTCAAACGACCGAGTGCGAGGCCAAAGATATCTCGCAGGTCAGGTGGCTCAGACTTTCACGGCCAAGTGATTTCATAGCGGCCACCGCGGAATCGGACGGTTGAGTTGAAGTGCTGCTGGGCACGGTTGTCGTCAGTGAGGAACGGTGAGTCACTGATACCAATACTGTCGAGAGACCACATCTCGGACAGATCCGGTACACGTTCCGTAGCGCACACAAAGACCACAGAGTCAGAAGCAGAGGCATGCGAACTGTTCGCGGTGGCTGGATTGGGGTTGCCAGACAACAGATATCCCAATCGAGACGGAATGAGATATAGGCCAGAAGGCAACCGTGTTGGCAGACCACTCATGAGGTCCCAGAAGTAC